AAAATAAAATAAAAATGCTCCACACACTGAAAAAAATTCTACGCAAGAAAAACAGAAACCTTACTGATAGCCTGCGTGGAGTTAAGTGGTCAGCAGATTGAATGAAAAACTACTGAAGCGACGCTGCTGCAGTGCTGTCACTGTCATTTGATTTACATGTGGCTCATCGGTCCACATGACCCGTACTGTGGTACAGTGACCACGGGAGGACACAAGACTCCTGCGTGAAAAAATGACGCCTCGTCCGTTCTTCCTTTTTTCTCTGTTTTGTTTTGTTTTAATTTAATTTAATTTAATTTAATTTAATTTAATTTAATTTACCCAGTTCTCATTCGGGTAGGGTAAAGGTAAGCAAGGAGGGTGTGGTTTCTGTGAGCAATATCCTACAGCACCTGTCCGTCCACAGGTGTAGCTTACAAAGCCCATGGTTTTATTAGAAAAACGAAATAAGACCGGATCACCCTTTGTCCACCCCACGGATCTGACCGGAGCTCGCATACCCACAAATCAAAAGCATTAGATAAACACACAAGCACACACATACACAAAAACACACCCAGCCTTCCCTCCCTGCCAGCCGGGATCTCCGAGCAAACAAAGCGCACACTCTAGGTTTTAGGATAATCGTGTCTGTACTCACCCACCAACAGCAGGCGTAGATGAACAGCATGAATTTGATGATATAATAGGAACAATCAGCACAACATTTAGACTCTCCCTCTGCCATCGTGTCTGGACGGAAGATAGTTTCTTTCAGCGGCTCTTTGGACTGTTGACAATTCACTTCCGCGTTGTCCTCGTCATAGCACCTGGAAACGCGCGTACAGTCTGACGGACGGCCGAAGGGGGCTGGTGGATGTGAGCTTGTGCAAGACTTTTAACTTGTAGAAGTTATGTGACATAAGTACATTAATAAAATCCAATTCAAATTTTTATTAAGATTCAAATCTTTGCCCAATTAAGGACGTGGTCATTTTAAGTGACAGATGGGTTCGCTTCCCGTTGTTTATTGTCAAAAAATAAAACAATAAAAAACTTTTTTGATTTTTCTGGGGCTTTCTGTTCAGTTTGTTTTAAGCCTCTTTTTAATATTTTTGTTTAAACTGAGTATCTACCTGGTTTTTACTATCACAGTAAATTACAAAGGTATCTTTCAAGCTAAGCTATCCAGCATATAGTTGTTACTGATAACAAGCTCCTATGATAGGTTAAAAAACCAACACACATGATTGAAAGAGCCAAAATGCCAAACCGGAGACCAGCAGAACAACTTATGAACAGTGCGGCTATTTCACAACATCTTCTGTACTTTGCCCAGGTATTTCTAACCCATTAACGTACACGCCTATGTAAATATCTAGAAGTTTTTGGGCAGCCTGTGTCAGCAATAGCTTCACCACACTGTGCAGGTCTACAGTTTGACGTTATTATCTGTATCTCACCATTTTATGCTGTAGGGTATTCAGAAGTAAACATGACAAACACTGAGTTTGCATGGGACAAAATGGGACTGAGATGTAACCCTAAATTTTCATAACTCACAAATAAAAATGCAATAAACTGTGCAGGATAAATATACATTTTGCTCTATTACTGAGTAAATACAATAAGGATAAAGGGAAGCTAAAGTTTGTTCTTTCGCTTTCACGTGAAAGTCTTTATATACTCCTGTAATCTCTTTTATCTCTCTGTTATTTCAACTTCTCTTCTGTCTGGATGCACCCAAATTAAAACACAGCACAGTTTGGATGTAGCCACAGGCTGCCAAAGCTGGCAATTTTAGCAATCTTTATCTACTGTGTCCCTCCACTTCCTGTTCAGAAAGAATAGAAACTCTATTTCTAGGAACATAATGGCACTTCCTTTTTTTAGGGTTGTTTCCGTCATATCTAACAAAATTTCCAAAGATGAACCGGATCAATGTTTTGGGACTTTAGAGAAGTGCATTTCCTGCAGAGCCAGTCAAAATGTGGGACATTGTTTGAAGATGTGGAACAAGGGAACAAGGAATAAAAATGCTGTGGAGATCCACATAAAGACAGACGTCTGGACCCGAAACTATTGGGAGAAGGTAGACTCTTTCTTATCTGCTATCATTTTATTTTAAGATTAACATGGCCACAAAGTGAAGATGAATACATTCACATACTTTGATCTGAGTCTTGTTTGTACTCTAATCTGATGCTGTTGAAAGCAAAAAGTCAAGGAAAAACAAGATAAAGTCCACTGTGAACAAGATCCATTCCCTCTGTTATTAGAACAAAACAAGTATGAAATACACCAATGCAATTAAAATGTATTAACTCAGCATTTTATACAAGACTGGATTTTTCGACAAAGTGCACTTCAAGGAGACGGACTGTGTTATACTGAAACTGGTTTACTGGCACAAAGTGACTCAGAAGAGAGAGTGAATGCAACAGGCTCTGATCTGAATGCGAAGGATTTGTTCATCGAGGCTGTCATGAGATGCTGGTGGGTGGACAGGCAGACAGCAGGACGGACCAGCTCGACTAGAAAAGCAGAGCAAATATGTTGCAAAATGTACCCGGGGAAACACCAAAATACATAAATGCAATCTAGGAGCCTGAGAAGATAAGCATTTATCTTCTTACATTGGCTTCCCATTAAATACCGTATTGACTTTAAAATTCTTTTGATCACTTTTAAAATTTAAAAAAACTTGGCGCCTAGCTACCTAACTGATCTCCTGCACTTGCACAACCCCAAGAGAGCACTAAGATCTTCGAGTCAGTTGCTCTTAGTGCAACCAAGGTCTCGGTTAAAGACCTGAGGTGATCGAGCCTTTGCTATTGCTGCACCTAGACTCTGGAATAATCTCCCAGCTGATATTCGCATGTCTAAGTCCAATCTTTCAAGTCGCACCTAAAAACTCACTTGTTTACTTTTGAATCAAACTAGTTTGACCTTCATCTGGTTTGCTCTGCACTATGCAAAAGTGTTTTTTATTCCCTGTTTGCTTGTTATGCTCTGTCCCGAATTTTATGTGTCTTGTGGTCGACTGTGAAGCACTTCGATGATGATTATTGGTCTTTCAAAATGTGCTATAGAAATAAACTTTGATTTGAAGCATTCTCCCACAGAATGCAAGCAGGCCCATATATACTGCTCCTGATGACAATGACAGGAAGCAGGTACAGTGGCTGAAAGACAGGAAACCAAAGACCCCACCAAAAGGTGAAGACAAGACCTGCCACTTCCAGCCAGAACTCAGAGACCAGAAACAACAGGAACAAACAAGTGCAGGACTATTACATAACTGGGCCCAAGCCTCAAGTGGTACAACAGGAAAGTACAGTTTCTTCACCATGTAAATTGACCTAATGACTACCCGAATTATTGCCCCACACACGGGCATTTGTTTTATACAGATACCTGCTTACTAACCCGTCTGTCTGGCCATAAGAAATTATGTGAGATGAGCATGAACCAACCGTTAGAAATGTGTCATCGTAGCAGAAACCTGAACGGCAAACATACTCTTATCACTGTTTTCACAAAGATAAACATGTTTGTTTTCTTTACGCTAATGCAGCAGATATATGAAGGTAAATATACTGCCAAATATTAGAGGCTGTAGAATGAAATATGTGAATGTGCAAAAAAAATTTCAACTTGAGCAGCTGTTTTAACTGATTCGAGAGGCTGTGATCAGAGTTGTGGAAATAGTAAAAGAAATTAAATAAATATCAATAAAATCAGAATTACAAGCTTGAAGCTCTCAGTATATCTCTGTAAGTATCAATCTCCACATTTATTCATATTTTTTGTAACTGTAAATTTAAAACACAAGCATGTGAAAACTTTTTACAAGTGAAAATTTCAAAAAATACAAGTTCAGATTTTTTTTTTAAATTCTCACATTTTATTCTGCAAGCTCTCACATTTTGCAACATATTTACCTTCATACAGAAAGTACATCAAACATTACTCAAAACAAAAACATCTACAGTACCTTCTCTCCTCGTGGTGACATTTGGCGGAGGGACCATGCATCCCCATGCTGTGAGGGACTGGATCACTGACTGGATCACTGACTGGATCACTGGAGGGTTCTTCAAAGAATTTTCAGAGGTAGCAGCTTTAGTATGGAGGCTATTGAGCGCCAAAATTAATTAATTAAATATATCATAATAAATTAAATTTGTCATTAATTAATTAAAATTGGAGCTATATAAATAAGGCAGGAGTGACTTTCTGTGTAATTCAGTGGTGCATTTTGATGACCACAGCCGTTCACTAAACATACTCCTGTGACTGGCAAGCGCATCATGGAGTGCGTGGGAGGTATTGTCCTTATCTTGGTCAACTCTCCGACACCACCTTAAGAGAGTCCATCGCCACAACATTACTTTCCTTGCGGCTCAGTCAATTGAGTCTGTTGGCATCTGCGACTCGATAAACAGATCCGATACACACAACTTACACATGCATATCCGATCTTCTTTAAATAACCGCCTATCAAAGAGTTCACAGCACAGACACTATGCAAAGCAAACATTCAAATCCCTGAATATATATCAGAGGATCAGAAGACATCGGATGTGATAAACCAGTCATTAGTTTGTATATGATAAATCGCCATCCCTCGCCTTTTTAGCTGCTGTAGCGCCCTTATTGCAGTTTTCTAAGCACCAAAAGCAGCAACATCTTAATCAGCAGTGACTCGGCCAACAAAACATTTCACATCAATAGGAGGGAGCTGTGTGATTGGCTGTTTCCCCCCTCTTGGTACTTTTCTTACTTATACATCACCTTTATTACTTTCTTCAGTCAGAAAATGACCTTGGAGTGAAAGCAACAAAGAAACTCAAAGATTTTCAAGTGTTATGAAATTCAACCTTCAGCAAAATAAGAATTTTTGTGTCCTCTGGTTGCCTGGGAGTACAGACTGTCTAGTTTTTGTAAAGTATTTATTTGAGATGTGTTCAGGTGCAACTGAAGAGTCACTGCAGGTGTCTATTTCTGTGTTTGCTAGTTTAGGTGGTGAAAATGAGTTTCTTCCCCTCTTGATTAGGTTTTGACCCTTGATAGCCAGCTCTCGCCCAGATTCACTCGGGCAACCACATTTATTAAGAACTGCTACACCTTCTCAGAAACTTTAAATTTTTGGGCCTGCATCCTTCAGCGTGTCAGTCACTGGGCAAACAAGCTTGTGTGATCACATGAAAGTACACACAGGCAGTGCACATTGCACACAGTCAGCAAACTCTACCTTTGGTCATTCTGTTCACTAATTACATGCACGGGCATATGCAGTAGATTTCCCCTGCAAGGCAGGAATGTGAGGAACGGGCATGCAACGAGAAGCAGGTAACAAAGTGAGAAACTATCACAGAAGCACAAAGCACAAAAATCTACAACAGTAACAGTGAGACTGAAAAAAACATCACTGGAGTCACAATCTGCCTGTTTGCACTGTGAGATATGTTGTTGAATTTCTTCGAGGATAAACTCAAAGTCAATGCAATGACAAGAGGGTTTTTTGTTTTTTTTTACAAACAGTATAAAAGAAAGTGTACATGGAGTGTCCTTAGAGGCACCTTCTAGCTGGTGATAAGCAATGTGGATAGAAAGCACACTCTTAGAAATAGGGCACAATATAAAAGTCAGTTTCTGTAAATACAGAACCTACACTTGCTTTGAATTTTAAGTTGCAGCGTCAGGATACACTCTGACACATAAAGATAAAGAAATTATGCACAAAAATAAATTTTTATCTTAGACTTTAAATGAGATACATTTAATACAAAGTAGTATAATTTTATATCTCATTTGTATCGGTGATGTAATGGGGAGGGGGTTGCTGCCTGGTTGACTATTCCTGGTCTCTGTGTCTTCTGTGTGTCTAACAGCCTTACGTGCAAATTTTAGATAAATAAAGCTTTGAATTGCCAGCAAGACTAGGCTGAAACAAAGTCGGTACAAAAGTCAATATTTGGTGTGACCACCTTTATCCTTCAGCACAGTCTAAACTCTCTTAGGCAAGCTTTCTTTTAATTTCTTTAAGTGGTCTTCAGGAGTAGTTGTCCAGGGTTACTGAAGGACATTCAAAACTCTTCTTTGGCTGTTGGCTGCCTTTTGTTCTGTTCTCTTTCAAGGTGCATCACTAATGTTGGGATCTGGACTCTGGGGAGCCCAGTCCACCACAGGTGTTCCACCAAGTGCTTTTCTATCCAGGTGTACTTTTACTGTATTGACAATGTGTTTGGGATCATTCTCATGTTGAAACATGAAGCTGTTCCCAAGCCGATAATTTGCAGATGGTATTTTACCATGCATCAACATCTGACAGGACTTTTTTGTGTTCATAATTCCAACAATTTTGACAAGATCCACAACACAAAAAGGCTGCAAACCATGACAGAGCTTTTATCGCGTTTTGCAGATGGCTATGGACACACACTGTGGTAACACCCCCGACCCTATTATCAAATATTAAGGACAAACTGCTCACCATGCTTAGACATGCCAGGTTTTCAGCTAATAGCTCTTTGGGACTCACCTTGTTGATGCAAAAATACAAAGATACTACTGGTCTGATGGTCATAGTATATTTAACAGCAAGAACAAAAAATATTACGCTGAAAGGTACAAAGATTTTAAAAGTTACAACAAAGTCTTGCTCCTTTAAAGCACAATGTAAAAAAAATAAAAAAATAAGGGCGAATCATTTCTTGGACATTTTCACACTTAATGAGCAAAACGTTTTCAAAAACATGATGCATCTCAGTTTTCCCTCATTCAGTGATTCAGCTATCATTACATGCTTTCCCATTGACAGATCAAAGTGCATTCATAAAGGTAAAGCTGTCACACACAGTTTTTTTTCTAAAGTAAACAGCATGTTTTAAACACTTCATCTAGATCCAGAACTTTCAGTTCGTTTTTGTTCTTGTGAAGAAATGTTTGCATGACATCAACACACCGGGAATAGCAGTAATTTCAATGAAAAACCACTGAGTGCACAGCAAGTATCATACACTTTAAAGCCAAAGCCAACCAGCAGACCAGATCAGACCCTCTGGTGTTCAGACAACATGTCTGACAACTCTACCACTCCAGTGACAAACTGCTGCATTTGAGTTTTTGTGGCTTCATATTTCTTCAATATAAGCACAAAAAGACTGTCTATAATTTCATGTGAAGAGAACCCTTTCCAGTCCAACACATGGATTGTTCCTAAGAACAACACACAACTCACATGTAAATACTTTTATTCAGGTTTATGTTTTACTGCAGTTTGGCAGTGATACGATCTCCTGGAGACCTGTTAGTGTTTTGTCATGTTTCAGAGGCACAGCTCTAACTGAAAGTAGACAGCTGCAGCCTTTTTAAATGTGTGACTTTTCAAAAACTGCAAGCACAGGGCTGGACTTAAACAAGTATCATGGCATGACTTTTTAACATCACTTTCAACTCTGCGGCACTTTTCTGTTTGCCTCAGATAACTGCATTAGATAAAATATCAAAACTGCTACTCTCTTGGGCACCTCTTTTGTTTTTCATTGGGAGAAATTACTCATTCCCAGACTCCACATAGCAAAATTGGTATGGCCCTGATCTGGCCCACACAATGTGCTTACACATGGCCCACATACCGCAAAGAATGATGGCCCTTTGGTGGCCCAGATCAGGTTTACCAGAGTTGGCCCACACATGGGCCAGCACGTGGCCAGTTGCAGACACACTGCTGGCCACGTGCTGGCCCAGATGTCAGCCTAATGTGTACCTTAATCAAGCCATGTAATAACAACATGTGCCGGAACATAACAGTCCAAAAGTAACATGACGAAACTCTGTTCAGACAGTGAATGGACTGATTTTTATATAGCGCTTTTCTACTCTCCCACATTACTCAGAGTGCTCTATACAATATGCCACATTCACCCAACGACACACTTTCTCTAAAACGGGTGCATCCTAACTACATTCACACTCTTGAAGACTGGAAGAGCCAGAGATCGAACCACTAACCTTCCGATCAGTAGGTGACCTGCCCTACTGCCTGAGCTACAGCCACCCACTGGCAAAGATGAGTAAACCGTCACTAGGTTTTGAATAAAGTGTACACTCACAAACCTGTCAAATCTGTACTTGAAAAGTTGGCTACTATAGCAGTATAGTGTTACAACATGGCATTTGGGTCTTCTAACTAAAATAGGAACATAAATAGTGCCATCTTTGCCGGACCTAGTCCACATGTGGTTGACAGACACCCTGCCATGACACCGGTCAGTCAGTAGTGCCAGCTTGATGCCAGATCCGGGCCAGACCTGTTTTCTATCAGCCTGGGCCACATAACCCAAACTACAATCGGGCCAGATGTGGCATGCCATCACATAAACAGTGCCATCTATGCCGGGCGTGGCCCATATCTGGATGAAATACGTCTTATCATGCCAGAAGTCAACCAGCAGTGCAGGCTTGATACCAGATCTGGGCCAGACCTGCTTGCTATGTGGGACAGTGTGAGCTGAATTCTGGTAAATGCTGGATTTCTGCTGTGCATTTTTTTAATGACTAAGTTGTAAGAACAAGATGAAGAACCTCAAACAAAATTCACAGACACAAACCATGTTCCTCAAAATTGAACAACAGTTTGGAAGGCTAGAAAAAGCATGCAGAAGGTGTAGACAAGAGAGTCTCATAATCCTGCTGAGAACTTGTCAGCACCATGACCACAATGCAGTTAAAAAAGAAGGACAAACTCTCTACAGTCATGCCAAAATCCACAAATGTAATCTCTTGGTGGGGACATTCTTGCTTAGATGGATTTGTAGTGATTGCAGCTTGGCTGAACACCTCAATAATAGAAGAGCTTCACTGTTGCTTTCAGAGTTTTATTGAAAACTCAATTGAAGAATCATTTTTTCTCTAGCTCTCACCTGATTGTGCATTTTTAGCACGCTCAAATTCACAATGAAAAAGGGTGAATGAGCGCAGCATTCTCTCTTCTAGAGGCTCTCAGTATGAGACCACCAGGATAGACACATATGTGTGTCCTCGTTTTTTTTTGTTTTTTGTTTTTTGTAGGCATAGAAGATGGGTAGTGCTGATGGGTTCGGGCAATTTCACAAGAAACCATCTCAAAAGTGTTTCAGACTTGTCGAGCGGTGAAAATTGACGGCTGTAAAGAAATTACAGCAGTAGCGGTAAAATGCACCTCTCTCTTTCCTTCTTCTCGGACCACCCTAGCTTTCCCGTTCTCTGTCCAGGCTCTTACATTTGTTTCCCCCTCTCCATCATCTTGTTGATATTCGGCTATTTTAGAGGTGGAGTACGTAAATCAGGCACTGCTCTCACAAGTCTCGCAATTTTTAAATTTTTTGTTTAAGTCTTAGTTCTTTCCATCACATTTATCTTTCTTGTTAGACGTTTATTTTGTCAGGATTTTACACCTCGTACCTCTCTTCATCTCTCTCCCTCTGGTAGTGGAGGATTTTGGCGCGACTCTGCGCGCACGGTAGCGTGCCTGAACGTCTGCGCTTCTCACTCTCAGATCAACATGAGCAAGTCACACATTCCAGTAGAGAGAGGCAGAATATATGCGTGTGTGAGAAGGAGTGAGCGGGGAATCCGGAGAAATACCTTAATGGATTATTGGATGGACCTGTTTGTCCTTTACGCAGAAGGAATCTGATTTTTAGACAAAAGCAATGGATTGAGTTTCAACTTGACCATTAATAGACGGGTAAGACAGATGAAAACTAATAATATGATTCAGGTTTAGGTTTTTTCCGGGTATTGTCCAGTGCATGAATTTATCACTTGTGGAGTTAAGGCAGCCAAAGAAACACACTGTATGTGACAAATGTGCGTAATTCATGCTCAGTCGTGCATCTATTTAGTTAATCTCAAAGCACCTTTAATGAATTAATAAATGAATTAAGATATAATAAAACAAAATAAGAAAGAAAGTCATTTTTTTTTTTTTTTTTAAAACAATCGTCTTGTAGCAAAAAAATTAAGCTGTCGGGAGAGTCTGGAAGTTGTCACCACGGTAATACTTGCATCCTGTTGTTAATGCTTGTAATCAAAAGCCGGATGCCGTCACAACGATTGATATGGTTGTCTTAAATCAGACTCAAAAACTTTAATACAAATTGAAACCGCCCTAAAGACTACAATGAACAGCAAGGAGATTAACACATTCGCACCTTGTTTTGGAGTTGATGCTGCTTAAAGCTAGTGCGTGTTGAAGTGGGAAAATAAGCTATTATTGGGGTGGTTTCAGTGCCTCTAATTATAGCGTACAAAATGAAGAAATCATTTTATAGACACAATGATACACACGCGAGTGTATTTACTCATAATCCCCCTACAAGAGAGTGTTTGTTTTTGTTTTTTTGTTTTTTGTTTTTTTAATTTGTCGGTCATTGTGGATAATTACGCATGACGCACAACGTATATACAATTATATCTACAGGTTCTGTCACCGGTAAGACAGAAAGCCAACATGGACGCCGGTAGTCTGATACAACATATTGAACGAGATGAAGAGACCACTTCGTGGCCATTGTCGATGACCACTGAGTGGTTGGAGGACGGGAACGAGACGACCTGGAATCAGTTCCAACAGCCCGACTGGCAGGTGAGAGAAAAACACTGAGATAACAAATGAAAGTGATTAAAGTCAGAACTGCAGAATTTAAAAAGATGACATTTTGATGATGATATTAATGAAAGAAGTAAGAAAGACGACTCAGTGAAGTAAAAAGGTGTATTCTTTTTTTTACTTGTATAATGTTGAAGGGTAAAAACCATATGTCAGTGACATCATTGTTGTGAAATCTAAGTAAAGTGCCTGAAACAGACAGAAACTCAACAGAATGAAGTAAAGGCTTACTGGTGAATGTGATTTGTCTCAGGGACAAAATGTGGGGCTGATTCAAAGGACATTTTCACTTCACAGACTGTATATTAGTTAAGTTATCTGAAGGCTTTTTGCTCATTCCTCTAAACACTTTTAACTCCCCCACAGTCATTTAAACCTGCACCACACCGTGCACAGTTTACAGTCCTCTCCTCCTATCTGTGCTTGGCTGTCTGAAGTAGCTCATTGCTTTACATTTCTGCGACAGTGGTTGACTGGGTATGAACAGGTGATGGATGTCAGGGTTTTCATTTCTGGCCCCAGATAAAGTGCAGCATGTCTGTCCTATTAATTTTCTTATAGGTCAGACAATGAAAGGAACGGGGTCTACAGATATTAAAAAATGCTGAAGATTGGTGGTTGCTTATCACAGAATAGACTTTACCTGGAAGCTGACTTTGATCGGTTTATCTCTCTTTGGGGGATGAGATAAACTAGGAATTCCCTGTGTAAAGAAACTTAAGATTTCTGAAAATATTTGTTGTTCAGAGTTGTTACGTCTCAGGAGGTAGACTGAGGTATCTACTAATTGTAAGGTTGGTGGCTCGATCTCTTTTCCTCTTGTCATTATGTTGCGATATCTTTGAGCAAGCTACTAAACCCTTAGTTTCCCCTGATGTATCCATCCGAGTGTGAGCGTTAGGATAAAAGCACTCAGACACAGGAAAAGATGTTTGTATAAATGGGCTAATGAGGGTTGTAGTAAGAAAATGCTTTGAGTGCTCAAATAAATTAGGAATGTGCTACAAAGGTGTCAGTCCATATACCACTTGCTGTAGACATCCTGTGCAGGGATAGGGTGGGGTTTGCAAATATATACGTATTTGTGAGTTCCTTTATTGTGGTTTTTTTTTTTTTGTAACTGCGTATAAGATGCTGACATTAAAGGTCTCCTCTCCTCTCCCAGGTGGCTCTCTGGGCTATAGCGTACTCCCTCATCATCCTGGTGTCCATCACTGGGAACGTCACAGTGATCTGGATTATCCTCGCTCACAGGCGCATGAGGACTGTGACCAATTACTTCATTGTCAACCTGGCTTTCTCTGACGTTTCCATGGCGAGCTTTAACACCCTTTTTAACTTTGTTTATGCGCTTCACAATGACTGGTACTTTGGCTTGGGTTACTGCAGGTTTCAGAACTTCTTCCCCATCACCGCCATGTTTTCGTCCATATACTCAATGGCTGCCATTTCAGTGGACAGGTAAGAACGCTCTCCTATAGAGTTCAGAATAAGTGAATACAGACAATGAACTATACTGTGCATTAAAAAAGGTAGACTGAACACTGAGCTGCAGACTGGCACAGCAGGCAATCTGGAGTACAGGGAAACCAGCATATGAGCATATGAAGTGTGAAAAAATCACAGCGTTAGGCTTGAAAATCTAGTTGTCTGAACATGTCTACAGATTAATGAGCTGTAGTTTAAATGTCATTAGAGGCGATTAGGAAAAGGCAGACATCTGTGCCGACCAGGGATGGAGTAGCACCACCTTCACAGAGTTGAACAGCAACAAAAACATAGAAACACCTACACAAAAAGGGATTTAAATAGGTGAGGGGAGGGAGGCTGGGGGCATGAGCGACAGGGGAAAAAAGGGGAACTCAGCACTGGAGCCAAAGGGATCATGTGAAAAATATGAGGTCAACTGCCATTAAAATGAACAAGTCATTACATCAGAGACTCTTTTGTGCTACCAATCAGACACTAATGGGGTGACTGATCCCCATTTTATGCAAACACTATTTAGAAAGTGCATTATGAAAGCAGTCAAAAAAAGGAATCATCACAACTTAATGAAAAAAATCAACATAGTGGCATATTGTTTCAAGCAACTAGCTGATCTGGGCAAAGGCATCTCTTTTCTGCAAGAACACGGATCATTTTCAGAGTTTCTGGAAGAATAAGGGTTTCGACATTTGAGCTCAAACAACAGCTCCTTGAGGAGCATGATTTGCTCTCATTCTCAGCAGGCAGTACAAATGAAAATGCTGCATGAAGGAGATATGGGTCAGCAGGCGGACACAGATGAAACACAGATGCCAGTAATGCTTACTGGAGCATGAATGGTCAGCCCGAATAAAATATCATATACTGAGTAAGGTATAAAATCTATGCTCAGTATGTGATACTTGTAGTAAGTAGTACAAATTTATAGGACCGACCTTATGCAATATGACACTCCTTCAAGATAAAAATAATCAACATCAAAGAAGGGTGTTTCACCCTAATGACAACCGTACAATGATTTTGAACACACAGCGGGATTACAAACTGAGAATTAAATGTGTTATTAAGAACTATTTGTTTTATTTTCATCATGATTTACTTGATGAACTCAGAATTGTTCACCTATATATGATGCAGCAAAACCTCTTTGTGGATTTAGACTATCCATAAACTCTTATGATTGTAATAAAGCTATCTTATATAAAAGAAACCACTATGGGATGCAAAGAAAAACTAGAAAACATCCAAGTCAGTGTGGTCCTCCTCTTGGAGGCTTGACCTAAATCCCACAGAACACCTGTGGGCTGCTGAAAAATGTCAGATCATTGATGCTTTAGTGGGGATGACCTGACAGCTTTGACTGAAACATGAAGGAAACCACAGCTGTTGCAGCAACTTACTGATTTTCCAAGTGTCCAAGTGTTTTCAGGTAGCTCTGCAAGCAAAATGATGCTGGACTAAATACTGAAACATTATAACAGCAATCAGCAATCTTTAGTATTCACGGGGAAGGAAGGTCTGGAAAATGTGCTTAGATTGCTGCTCTGGTGCTCAGGACCTGGATAACGAGCAGATAATGGAAGAAGGACTAGCTTTTTATTTTAATTTTGAAAGTGTGAATCATTTTTAAATGGTATTAATCAATTCCCAATACTCTTCTTTTCCATTACTCTTATAGTATCTACTTTGATGTGACTTTTTAAAAATCTGATGCAATTAATTGTCTTTTTTCTGGGGGGGGGTTTCTGAAAAAAGCAGTTTATTAACCAAATCTTTCTAGCAGATCCATTAATTCTTACTTGGTTTTTTTTGGCTCAGATTGATCAAGGTGCTGGAAACTTCCTCTGAGATTTTGGTCCATATTCATCTGACAGCAGCACACTGTTGCTCCTTGTGGTCATTATAAAACTACTCTATTGGATTAAGATCTGGTGACTTTGTTTGTGTGGGTTTTCTTAAGGGACTGTGTCTTCCTCCCACAGTCCAAAGACATGCAATTAGTGGGGTTAGGTTACTTAGAGATTCTAAATTGCCCATAGGTGTGAATGTGAGTGCGAATGATTGTTTGTCTCTTTGTTTTAGGTTTGCATCAGACTGGGTAAAGGACACAGTGGGTAAAATAAGTGAAGTTGAATCCATCACCAGTTTACTAAGTAAATATACTTCTAAAGGTGCGATTGACATGAAATTCTCACCAAATGTCAGTAACAACCCATCCAATGCAAAAAAGAAATCAAACCATTGATTTCCATAAATTATGTGTAATAATAAGAAAAGACAGAGGGGGGAAAGTATTGAACCCGCTTACTGAAATGTAGGTAATACTTCGTACAAAAGACTTTGCAGGTAATGACAGAAACTAGTCACATGCTAGTCAAATCACTCAGGTGTGATTTTGGCCTATTCTTCCTCACAGACAGTCTTCAAATCCCGAAGGCTCCTTGGGTCCTATGAACTCTCATCCTTAGATCAGTTACATGAAGGGTGATGTATGCAGAAAAGCCGCCCCACAGACTATATGCTTCCAGTATTTCACAGGATTGTTCAGCAAACGTTGAACATGCTTCAACATGCTCTTTCTTTAGCAGTGGTCTGTGTCATGTTCCAGCATGGTGAGCGTGCATACAGGCCATGATGGGCGAGTGCATTGCTTGCTTTCTTTGAAGCAATTATACCTGCTGCTTCCAGGTATTTCTTTGGCTCTCCACAAGCAGTCCTTGGCTCTTTGACAACTTTTCTAATAATTCTTTTCACTCCTTTGTCTGAAGTTTTGTGGGGAGCACCTGGTCATGGCTGGTTTATGGTGAAATTCCACTTTCAGCTAATGTCCCCAACAGTGCTCACTGGGACCTAGAGTAGTTTAGAAATTCTTCTGTAACCAATGCCATCAGTATGCTTTGCAACAATAAGGTTGCAAAGGTCTTGAGAGAGCTCATTGGTTTTACCCATCATGTTTCGCGTAACACCGCAGTAATTTCAGCTGGTGTCAATAATTTCCATGTCTTTTTGCATCTCCCTTTCTTTGTGTTTTCAGTACTTTTCCCCTGTGTCATTTCTCATCACTACACATAACATATATGGTTTGATTTCTTTCCATGTGTGGATTGGATGGGTTGCTACCGACATCTAGTGAGAACTAGATGTCGGTAAAAAGGAAATAAAAACTTGTTATAGGTTCTACTTTCAAACTTTCATCTTTATGCGAAACGTTTATGTAAGATCTCATGAAGCTGTTATTATCCACAGAACATTGACAAAGCCACTCCACAATAATGTAAGTTTATGACTCATAACCACAGATGACCGATTTCACCGTAATTTTAACAATACCATGCAATAGTGCTAAGTTGAAAAAAGTAGACTGCATACTGGTTGAGATGGGTTGCCATAGCTACCGCATTCATTGGCAGTTATTAACATTATTTCACCTTCAACTTTTAATGAGGTAACTTCTGTATTATATGGTAGATTGGCGGGAAAGGAGTTTTTTAATATACCATCATTAACCTGAATTACGGGATGTCACTGATTTTTAATTATTTTTATTGTATCCGAATATTTTTTAAAAGGATTGCGTGGGTTTTAAATGGTTATTATCCTGGGCTTTCATCACTTGACCTCTGACAGTTAGCATATATTCCACAAATAAATAATTACTAAAGAAATGTTTTTGTTTGTTCAAAATAGGAAAAACACTTTGAAAAAAGGTTGTTTAAAACAAACACTCAGCAGGAACCTTTTGATTGCTGCTCAGCTTTGAAGCTGTTGTTTTGCAGCTGATGGTTTGATTGATGAGTGGGTAGTTTTCTGTCATGAAAAGAAAATGTCACTTTTTTTTCACACACTAAAAGCTTTAAAGCATTGCCCTGTTTTCCCTATCAGTGCACCTATGACTGAGTTTCTTTAGACAAAGACATGTGAAGGTGTAATCATACAAAAGTTTCTGTCTTTTTCAGGTACATGGCCATCATCCATCCTCTGAAGCCCCGCCTCTCCTCCACCTCTACAAAGGTGGTGATTGCCCTGATATGGATTGTGGCAGTATCACTGGCGTTTCCTCAGTGCTACTACAGTGTGACAAGATTTTATTACCCCAGAACTGTGTGTATGGTTGACTGGCCTGATGATTATGGAGGAACACATCAACTAAGGTGAAATAAAGAGGCACACACGTGCATAGATGGTGACATCGCTAACAGGTCTGTCAGTTTAGGAGCTATTTGTGCCACTCTTTAAATGCGGATGTCTTTACCTATTTGGATTGAGCAAAAGTTTCTACTTAAGCACTGGCAAAAATATCTAAAAGAAAGTTGGACAAAAACTGAATAAAATAAATGTTTACATAGAAGGTAAAAACTTTGACCTCAAGTTGGATCTCCAAATTGTTTTTCTTCTGCTCGGCTTCATTTCTTCTAATAAAGCATTTAAAAGTGAACGAGGTTGATCAGATTTTTACATTTACAATGAAAGCAAGCGAGGAGTGGCTATGTTAAATGTTGCTATTGTTACAGGCCTTCGATGGGGTCTGTTTTTAAACTGTTTTTTTAACAGAAAAGCAGAGACAGGAGACATCAGTTGCGTTCGGTCTGCAGGCTCTTCCTCGTCTGATTTATTAACAGAATTTAACAACGTCCTTTTCTTTTCATTTAGACACACAGATTTCTCTTTTAACAACACAAACATTCAATTAGGTCCATAGCTCAAACCCTTTTGGTTACCTTGCACTCTCACAAGAATAAACTTACAAAATAATCATTGTATATGAACGTCCTTATTTACAATAAATCTGTAACCAATTTTGCTGCTGTTCAGCATCAAAAACATTTCTGTGCAGCACCACTAACACTGCAATTTAACCCGCTTATGTCACCTTTATACTTTTCTTATACTTTAACAGATTCAAACAATATATTACATTTTGTAACCAATAAACAAAAATATTCTTCCATTGCTCACAAACAGTTCACAATCATCCACAAACAGTATACATCAGACTATTTACATTTGACACATAAGAACTGGGTAGGTCCTATTCAACTGTAACTTCCAATAATGCCAGGATAAAAGAAGTGTCTAAGAGCTCCATTTGTCACAAAATAAAACAGGTAATAAGACCAGCTGCCTATTTAGACTACGAGTGAAATGGCGGCTGCCATTACAAATGGCGGTATAGTTAGCTTTCTCTCAGTCAGTGAAAACACACTCTCTCACAACATTTGCGGTCTTTAAACTAAGACAGAAAAAGGTTTCTTGCCTTTATATGTACATTGCGGTGAGCAAACTTGATCTACTGACCTGTTTTTTTAACAGAAAAGCAGAGACAGGAGACATCAGTTGCGTTCGGTCTGCAGGCTCTTCCTCGTCTGAGGCAGAGACGCGTTGCAACGGCCTATCGCACTCACCACTATCTCCCCCTTGTGGCAATGCCACGAAATTACATTGTCCATAACGCAAAATGAAAAGTACAATACCACCATAAAATCAGGTCTTTTACATCAAAAACAATTCACAAAAAAATTACAATTGTGACCATACACTTGTGGGCGTCACACTATGACTGCTCAGGTTAAATCAATCTTGTGTTCATCTAAAACATCAAAGAACTCCAAGGCACTCTCCTTTTAAATAACATTTTAAAATACCTATATTAAATGTTGCATGCCAAAATGCATTTAATAAAGGTATTTAAGAACTTTGATTGGAAAGCTAAACAGATTTTTTAGAAAAAGTCAGCTTTTCAACTACCGGCAAACTTGATTCCCCACCGTGTAGGTGGTTTTAAGGTCAAACAAGACTATGGCATGAAAATTAAGCTTTTTAAAAAAGAGCCTTGGAAGTCTTTCATGTTTTAACTTATATATATGTCTTCCAAAGTGCACTTCAGATAACACAAATCTAAATCTAAGAAGCTCTCCTTCACACAAACTGTTCAGATCTCACATTCATGTTTACATTCATTCTTGTTCATCAACCTTGTGTTGTGTGTCCTCATAAACTCTGTGCACGTGATGGGTAGCAGAAAGATTTGTAAAGCTCAGTTATTCAAGTTTTAATAGTTTAAAACTTGAAAATAGTTTCAATAACTTGACTCTTTCATATTTTATCTATTGTATAATTCATCAAAACCTCTATAAGTTGCTAATGAGCATACATTTTAGAAGTGTGGCAGAAAGGTCAGTTATTGACACAGGTTCAAGCTGCAGAAGGCAGCTGAGGAAAGGAAAAGAAGGAAAGTGTCTTCATACATGATTATTTTTTAACTTTATCTTTGAACTCCAAGGACAAATCCATCTGCCTGACTCCTTCAATTTGATCTTTATGTACTCATCTGATCTCTGTGATTGGCTTAGGTCTCCAATAACAAGCTTAATTCTCTAAAGCCTGACAAAGAAAGAAAATCACAGACAGGAAGACAGAGCCTTGGCTTCTCTGAGACCTCTTGCACTAAAACTGCTGGAAGGTTAAAATGTTTGTTGTTGTTTTCTGCCTGACATAGAAATTAAGCATTTATTATCCATGTTGCTAAACAGTTTCGAAGCAATTTTCCAGGTTTCATCAAATGCAAAAAGTAGTTATTGCTCGGTGAGAGACATGTAGAAAAGCACAAACTGAAAAAATTTAAATGGTATTGAATTTGCAAACGGCACACTAACATGGGATTTGTGGTGATGACTTGGTGATAACAGCTGACACAATCTAAAGGTTGAATGTTGTGTTACCGTTTCTCATCTCTTTTTCTCCATGTAGTTATCAGTTTGCGGTTATATTGCTGATCTACTTTCTTCCTCTGCTGGTGATGCTGGTGACATACACTATAGTCGGCCGATCGCTGTGGGGTGGGCACATCCCTGGAGAGGCGTCAGACCATTACCATAGCCAGATAAATGCCAAGAGAAAGGTTACACTGTTCCTTTTTTTTACTACTCAGTTTGACTACAAATCCTCTGAGCTGACCTGATCTTAACAGAAAAAAACACAGCAGCAATTACTCAGGCTCATATGTCTTCTTATTTTCCATAGGTGGTGAAGATGATGGTTGTGGTGGTGGTGACGTTTGCCCTATGCTGGCTGCCCTACCATGTCTACTTCATACTGGGATCATTTAACAGAGACATTTATAAGCAACATTACATTCAGCAGGTTCACGGATGCCTCTCTGTTTTATATTCTTGAATCTGTAGTTTTGTGTTTACTCATTATTTTTTGTCTTCATCAGGTGTATCTGGCCATATTCTGGCTGGCAATGAGTTCAACTATGTACAATCCTATTATTTACTGCTGTCTAAACCAAAGGTGATCTGGCAGTAATTGTGCCGAGTTTAAAAATAATATTATAGCTTCAAAAACGTCAGTAAATCGGACATAAATCCATCTTTTCCTGCAGGTTTCGCGCTGGTTTCCGTCATGCCTTTGCTTGGTGTCCCTTCATCAAAGTGTCAGAGGAGGACAAGATGGAACTGCAGCACACACACACCTTCAGAGTCACCATGACCCGCAGCCACCACAATGACATGTCATCTATTAGAACAAACACTACATACGTCTCAAACACGCTTGCCAGCAGTGACCTGGTCACAGAGAGAGATGCTCGCAGACACCTTAAGAAGAACACACGCAACTCGCATCCGGTGAAGAAACTGGACGACACAAAATCTCCAGCTGTGGCGCTTATGGAGCACACCCAGTGATCGCTGACAGACATCATGATGAGGACATTCTCAAAGGGAAGGCAGCAGGATTTTTCTGAATTGTGAATAAAAACACTACAGCTGGTGGAGACAGAGGAAGCCCTGCGGAGTACTGGACAGAGTTAATCAAACTAAGGCATTCATTCCTGTGGATCAGGAACTTTGTATAATACACGATGGATGAATGAATGTGACTATCAAGCTATTGCAGCACATGCAAAACATTTAATTATGCCACTGAAACATTTGTGGCTGTGTGTAGATTAATCCAACCTTGATCTATTTACACTGCTCCAAGAAATTACGCGAACACTAAAATATGTTTTCATCGTGGTCAGATAACCTTTACTGATATACTTTGTGTAATTAAAGTGAAGAAACCAAAATCCTCACACCAAAGTCAAACATAAATTCACAGGCTGTTCCAGCTTGTGTCATAATGTGCCTCGGTAATGTTTACTGGATATGTCTGGATATACTCCTGATGAGATACTGGATAGTATCCTGGAAGATCTCCTCCCAGATTTGTTTCAAGGCATCAGTGAGTTACTTGACAATCTATTTGGCTAGTTGACAGTCAGTCTGAGGATTTCTCTCTGGTATCATATAGCAGTCAGGGTATCACTGACCAAGCAGGTGGAGGTCTGTGCAAGCCTCCAAGGATATGCTTCCCCAGACTATCACTGACCCACTGCCAAAAGGTCATGTTTATCATGGCGTCCACAATCTCTTTAAAAGCTGTCATATTTGCTCAGTGTGCACGGGTCTCACTAAAGGACATAAGACCGTTGTAGGTCTAATTCTAACAGTTTTGTCAGGGGCATGCACATCAGTAGCCTTATTTTGTAGAGCTCTTGCAGTACTCCTCCTCACCCTCTTTAGAGCAAAGAAGCAGATACTTGTCCTGCTGCTAGGTCGTTGCTTTTCTACAGCTCTGTCCAGCTCTCCTTGTGGCACAGCCTGTCTCCTCCTGGTATCACCTCCACACTCTCGGGACTGTGCTGGGATACACAGCAAACATCTACTGGAGGAGGTGGACTACGTTTGCATCCTAAATGGGATGCAGGTACAATTTCATGCAAATAGTAGTGTCAAGGACGCTAGCAAAAATTAAAACAAGAGAAAAGGGTTAAGGAAGGAGCAGTGGTCTGAGGCCACTTGATGCTCCTCCAGTGCAGCGGCTGTGACTTTCATCCGAACTGGACAGACTGATTTCCCTGAAGCTGAACTGACTTTGTGTCATAGTGTGATGATCAAGTGTTCCCTTCATGCTTTTAGAAGTGTATTCCACTCCAAAAGTGTCCTCCCCCCGTTGCCGTCCAGACCTCTACATGCTCTCTTTCCTCCATCTTGGACATTCAAGTGTTACTGGAAACATTTAACTGTGGTTACTGGTTTTCTTGTGCAGAGAACGGACAAACAGTCCAAACCCTTAATAATGTTGTTGTGTAGCGTCTTCATTTGATATAAGGCTTTCTTTAACAATTAAGCTAAAATAGGTGTTTTATTTAATTTCTCTTCTATATTAACTCTCGATAATCAAAGTAATTCACTCATTCTTTAAGTTTGCTGGGATTCAGAATTGGCAGCAACAGCGTAGTTAGTCTTTTTAATCTGGCTTTTACTCATATTGATTACTCATAAAACATTCAGAGATCAATTAAAGCTCAAAGTGATGTCAGAAAATCGCCAGTAAATACGCCTCCTTCTCCCATTTTTGCCTTAAATTAATCAGTTGTCTGGTTTGCATGTATTTGTTGCTGTGCAGTTCTTTCCCCCTTCACACATTTGTTACATGGTGCACATTAATACAGTATTTTTCCTCCTATATTGTGAGTTCACTGGATAAAGTCTACATTAAAAATTCAAGTGCCGCTACTTAGTACAATCAAATGTGAAACATAGTGATGCTATCTACTGAAGACATTCATGTAAAATACCCAGAAGTAAATATGAAACTTGTGGTTGTCGCACAGTTAAGAGTCAGAAAATGACGCTTTAAATATTGTAACCTGTGAGCATTAGGTTTCAGGATGAAGTAAAAACGTTTGATTATTGGAAACTTTTTGATGTTTTATGCACGGACTGTGGTTGTGTTAAGTGTCTTGTTGTCTATACGAAGCAGGATTTTTGTCGTCTGTGGCTGAAATAAAAAAGTTTAAATAATGTGACAGTGCTAATAAAGTTACAATACAGGAAGTACTGACACACATTTATTTGTGCCCCATCTAACGCCTGAATTATAACTGCTGTAGCTGTTAACAGAGCTCTAAGTGTGCAACTTCAGCACCGCAGGGTTGCTTTGACCTTTAGCTCACACTGAATACATTTGTAACACCACTGAAGAGATTCACAACTACGTGAGTGCTAAATGATCAATGCAGAAACAAAAACAAACCAACCACGACATCATGTTTACACAGGTTTGACTTTATTAAGTGACTGATTGGCGATGTGGGACAGATACATCCTTTGTTAGCAGAATCACACAGATTCAAGCGTTTGTGTGCGACTGGACATTCTGGGGTCAATCTGAAGGCAGAGTAAAGGAGCTACCTGCCTTCTTTAATCATACAATATGACTAAAAGGTAGGAAAGGACATTCTTTTAGCTCAGCTGGTATTCATTTGAATATTTAAAAAGGTGGCATCTCAACCATATCCCGTCCTCCACGGGCACCACTGATCTTACAATAGAATATTTTCTTCTTGTGCTCTTTAATTGCTTCATAATGAATCTAAGCTGTCGTAACTTTGAGACTTTTTTCCCCCTTTTGCTTTTAACACAATGAAAATAAATATCAATTTGCATAAGTTATACTACATGAATGAGCCTGACAGTAGTTACCTTAGACATCCTCCTGAGCTTTTAGGAGCACATGGTGATATTAAAGGGGCGAGTAGAGTACGTGCTTTTATTATTGGCCAACATGTTAAAACTCTTTTAAAAGTTCTGTAATGTTCATGTGAGTTTATACACACTATGGCTGCTGTTGTTATTCCCCTGGCATCCGCGTTAGCACCACATTTCTGTTTCATAATTAAATAGCTGTTAAGGTATCATCATGGTGATGAGGTTAGCCAGGACTTCTTAAGAAATGAACACACTAACAGCAGCTGTGACTGGTACCAACAACAGGACACATAGTTTACACTACAGACAATAAAAAGATACTGCTCTCTGAGATAAGACCAGTGGTTCTCAAACCGTGGAGCAGGGAGCAACTGCAGGTGGGCCGGAGAGGACCAGAGGAGAAATGTTTTTAGGAAACATAAACAGAACAAAGAACAGGATGGAATGAACTTTAAATGCTAAAAGATGTGTGGGCGTTGACTTTGAGCACCACTTGCTTCTCTAAATCTGCCACTGCAGAAGTCCCTCTTCTGTCATGCTTGAGCACATAAATACAGGACAGGTACCATGTGAGGGAACTTCTTCGCTGGCTTCCTATGTGTGCATCATATTTTGCAACAGTAACATTTTTCTTCAACATCTCCCGATATATAAAAATACAATAAATAACAACAATGTATTTATAACATTGTTTTATATGTGGGTAAGATATCAAATACCAAAAAAAAGCAATAAAATAAAATAAAGAAAAGAAAAGAAGAAAAAAAAAAGATTCCCTTTCATCTCAGTACACATTTATATATCGCATCCCTTTCATGCTTTCCTGTACATACGCGCGTAATCTACAGCAGACACACAGACTTTGGTCTAAAAGAGCGTTTTTATTTTTTCTGTTTCTACTGAACAAGTTAAAAGAATCAATCTGCGATGTTTCTCTGCAACTGGTGTGCTGACCTGCAACTTATAACAGAATGCAGTTACCAGAGAATTCCTCCAGATGGAGACAAAGGGGGTTTACAGGCATGCGACTGTCCTGCATTAAAAAAAAAAAAGACAAAGGGCTACTTGTGCGTGTTTTATCCACAGAAATTGCAAACTTGCAATATCCTTAAGAGACTGGGTGCTGTTAATAAATCTAACCACAACAGAGAGAAAACCTCTCCTTTTCTCTGCCTCACGTAGACGGACTAAAGCAGCTACCGGAGCGTGATATGTCGACTGGTCTTGTTTGATTTAGGAGGAAAGGAGACAATGGTTGAGAACTGGGGCAGGAGAGGGGATGAGATAACAGTGAGATGCAGAAAATGTTCTATTTGCTGTTCAGCTCCTGTCTTAGCCGGCAGCCCACGGCTGTGATGAGTGCAGCTCCTTTTCCACTTCCATCCTCTGACAGCAAGAACTTGACATTACAGTTTGGAGCCAGTTCTTTAACCGTCTGGTGCATGATCAGGGAGAAGCTACACAGAGACAGAGGATGTACACGTTAGACAGAAAAGCAAAAAGAGCCAGTCTGGTGATACGGTTAATGGGTGTGAAAGTGACACAAGAGGGAGCGAAGGTATGGTTTACCATCTCCTCGCCAAAATGAATCATGTTCAAAAACAAAAGAAAGACAACCAGGCCTCTACTATCTAACCGGGAAACAGGCTTTTCTGCATGGCTTAGCATAAAATAAAAGCTGTTTTCACACATCCAAAAAAGAAATCAGAGAATCAGATACGGACACTGCCTGCAGTTTTGCTTCCTCAGTTTTAGCACACAGCAGGAGCTCATTTCTATCAGCTGCAGTACCACAGTGGAGATGTTTCGGGGTGTGCAGGAGATAGCTACTTGCTAGCTTTGAATTCACAGGAGTATTATCTGGACTGGTTTCACAAAACAATGCAATCAGCCATCACACAGACTTTCCACACGGGATTTGGAGAGTTAATGACAGTTTAAAATCGGATCTGCACCACCATCTTATAAATAAAGGAAAGCTTATGTGTCAGCTCAAGGGTTAAGGCACAATAAATCAACTTGCCACTGATTCGTTCGTTCGAAAACATGTCCAAACCAATGACCTATTAATGACTATGTCTCCTAAGCAGTGCTCTTGTGGTGACACTGGACATAAGAACAAACGGGCAGAGAATATTTACTTAACCTGAGGTTTTTCTCTTGCATTATGCAACACATGCAGTGAATCTCATATGCAGTTATAACAGGACTGAAGCAAGACTCAACTTGACACAAGACTCTCTGTGCTATGTGTACGCTTTAGTTAATATGCTACTTTGACACTTCGGGATCATCCATTTATCATAAAGGATTTTTGCATTGGCTATCTTGCGACTGCTATTTAATGTCAAATGCTTACTTTTAGCTCATTTAGCTTACTTCCAAATAAATTTATCACCATGACTAAGAAAAAAAATACTTTCACAAAACCTTTTAAAAAGTAGCAAAGAATGATCCTTTCTGTTAGCAGCCTGGTGCTCTTCTTAACTCGATGAGCCTACTATCGTTTCTATTTGTCTGTCTGCTGCATAATTATTGTAACTACAAAGATACTTTTTTGTGAAAATGGTGACATAACACAGCAGCTTATGAGGTCATCATATTCCTCTTCACTTCAGTTGCCAGTGAATTATTTTTAACATATGAAATAATAAATAAATTAATGGATTAAACTTACTGTGGATGTAATTTGTACAGGGTCCCGTCTACCCCTACGGTGATGTCCAAATGGTCCAGTCCACGGTTCTCTCTAATCTTATCGACCACTGCCGCCATTCCTGCGCCACATAGCTGAGCTGCACGACGTGACACTGTTCCACAAACCTAACAAAGAAGACATTTATCATTATTGCAACAGCTTTTTGAGCCACACAAGTACATATCAGTCAAACTGAGAACAAATACAGCCTAAGTTTCAGTTTCTCTCCTACTCCTGTGTCACATAGTCTTTCATAAAATAAGGCTAACAAGATAGTATTATGGTTCTCTCTCAGTGTCCAAATGCAAGTCTAAGACTTTGATTACTAACTAACTAACTCTTCTTTACCTCTTTGACTATGATACTGTCATCACAGGTGCTGTCCAGGCCCAAGTGTTGCAGGATTGATCGCACCTGCAGCAAAGCCAATCTGTCACTGTACAAAGACACAAACAGAAAGTCATTAAAAGATGACAAATGAAACTTTAGTAAGGAGACAGGAGCAATATCTTATCATTAAATAGACAACACAATCAGTGGTACGATAGCAAGCGGTGCTAATGGAGTATAATCTCCTGTCCAGATGACTTCTTATCTCGTGGAAGGGTGAACTGACACTCTTATTAGACGCAAACAAAGATAGCGTTCATTGTTTACCTTTCTATCTGTGACAGGAACTTTGTTTCAAAGATGCTTCTGGTCTTTAGGGTTTCAGAAATCTGTCCTCTGAACAGGAATCCTTTTTTGGTCATGTCGATGAGGATGTTCCGCACGATTTCACCGAGGTACATGCCGCTGATCATTTTCTCATATCTAAAATGCAGAATTCAAGCAAAGACAAAGGAAACATAAATATACGGTATTTACATGCACCTCAAAGATAGGAATGAATGCCCTGTATCTTTTCAAGCATGGGTGTGTATGAGGCACCTTTGTTTCCCCGGGTTTAGGGAGAAGTCGTCCACAGAACGGTCGTACTCTGTCCTGATGTCGTCCAGGCATCCGTTGTCTCCAAAAGCTCCCCACTCCATGTTGACACACATCTGTCCCTCATCGCCCTCAACCATCTCAACGTTCTTCATCTCTTCCATGTAACACGCATTACTGCCAGTACCTGTAATCAGAGAGACGCATTATATAGATATAGCACAAAAAAGCTGAATATTTTATAAAAACAAGTGTTACTTTAAGGTGAACTAACCGGCGATAAGACCAACTTCACAGGTGGGTTCTTCATAGGCACAGGTCATCATGGTTCCCACTGTATCATTCACTACAGCAACCACGTCCAGATCAAATTCCTGCAGACCAGACAAACAATATGACGTGCCACAAAAACACCATGATTCCATGTTGTACTGAGTGATGCTGCTCCTCATATCCTCATACCTCTCTCCTCCTAATGGCGTCCCTCAACAGTCCCACCACATCTTCCCCTTCGCAGTCTGTCGCCTTGAAGCCTTTGGTCCATGTCACCAAGATGCCCTGTACACAGACACACACAAGTTTAGTTTATCATGTGACAACTTCATGGATGGCTCAGGCATCAGTTCATGAAATGTTATTTGGCTTTTTTTCCCCTCTTGATGTTGCTTAACGGTGGACAAGTTATGCATAAATCACAGCTTTAGTTTGCAATACAGCCAGTTTAAGACTCTCAGAGTATAGAAGAAAGTACAGGGCTGTACATAAAAGACGAAGAAGCAGGAGTATTACTCACAGCGTCCAGGCTGGTCTGTCGGCAGGGGAAGGAGAAGGTGAAGCCCAGAGGAAGACGGGCATTCTTCATCCCCATGTAGTCCAGGAAGTCACTGATACAGTGCACGATGTGATCGAACAACTGGAAAAATAAAAAAGTGACACATTAAAAATTGCATTTGTAAAGTACATCACTAGTCTTAATGATGACTCAAAGCACTTTACGCCATAAGCCCGTATTTGCTCCTTATCACAGAAACCAGAGGAAAGTCTCTCTCTGCATGTACTGTGATACTTACTAGTGGTTTAACATCCAAAACGCTGCATAATTTCAATTAGAGGAATTCAAGAATGATGCAGTTTAGAGTGTTGTGGTTAAATGTATTATTTTTTTGCCCATGCACTAATCTGATGCATTGTGTGTGAAATGCATTGTTATATTAGGACACAGATGATTTCAAAGACATTTAAAATGATCTGCGTGGCAAATCTGATTCATTAATGGCCACTTGCTTTGAATAATGGGACCTCTGAGAATTACTGAGAAACATGTGATAACGCTAAAATACATAACACAGGCTGTAAAGGTGTTAAAATTATCCTATTGTAAAGAGCATCTGTTAAATATCACTCTCCTGTCCTGTTTCCAGAGGAGTGAGACTAAAGAAGTCAAAGGTGACTGGATAAGCTTAAGCTGGTGCTTAAGGGTTAAGTTTAAAGTTCTCTGTTTTAGAGATTGGCATCGAGTTGACAATCTAAGCCAGTCAACTTTTCTAATTGTCCCTCTCTAATTGTCTGTCCCTAAACTTTTGACCCTCCTCCCAGCTTCTATCCTATTTACTTATCTCTTAAACCAACAAGCCTCACATCCCCCATCTACCATCCTAATCTTTATCCTCTATTTAACGGGGAGATATTCACCAGTCCTCCTTTCGTCGCAGTTACCTGCCGGTATAATTTTACACCGTTAACTCTAGATTACAGGCTGTTTATCTCACCTCCTCCCCTGTGCCCTGCATCACTTCGAGAGGAATAGCGTAGATTTTGTTGTGCATCTCCACTGATCTCCTCTTCCCAGAGCGAATTTTAACCAACAGAACTCTGAAGTTGGTTCCTCCTAAATCTAAAGCCAGGAAATCACCATGTTCTGGACACACAGATAAACAAAACAAGAGAAAGATAAATGACCAGCGGTCAAAACATTCAAACATATTAGGAAAAGACTTAATAGGCAATGTAAGCTTGAAAAACAGAATAAACAGACTAATCTTTTATCTTATGGCCATAGGTTTTCCATAATATTCATACAGTTATGTGGGTACATGTGTGTTGCTGTGTGTGTACAGAGCTGAAGCTGTTCTATTAAGAAAAACATCTTTTTTTGTTAAAGCTGCAAGAGTTGCAGAAAGAAAAGGTGTGAAGTAGTGAAGCCAACGGTTCCTTCTTCCCGAACAGACCTGCGGTCAAACTATCTAGTTTGACCGTGAAGGTTCTCAGTCATCCAGGTCATCGTAGTCAAAGGAGCTTGCAAAGAAAAGCGTCTGGACTTCTTTAAGTTGCTAGAAGACGTTTCACCTCTCATCCGAGAAGCTTCTTCAGTTCAAAGGTCAAATGGTGGAGAGTCCCAGATATAAACCCAGTGGGAGTTTCCCCCCAAAGAGGGACAAAAGGACCCACTGACGGTCCTCTAATCACATGAGCCAAGGTGTGAAAATGGGTGTGGGTCCCAATCAGCCAGGGTTTCGGGTGAGCTCATTGTGAAACCTGGCCCCACCTTATCATGCGATTTCCTGAGGTCAGATGGCCCAGGATGTGAGTGGGCGTTAAGGCGTCTGGGGAGGGATCTCAGAACTGGATTATAGATGGCAGACAGTTGGTGTCGTAAACCCCCGCCACTGTTCAAAGATGGTCGCTCACAGTGGACATCTATGTCCACTGTGAGCTATCTCTATGTCCATCTATGTCATACTGGTTGACATCTATGACATCTATGTCCACTATGTCCATCTATGTCTTCTAGCAACTTAAAGAAGTCCAGACGCTTTTCTTTGCAAGCTCCTTTGACTATCTAGTTGGATATTTTCATATGCTGAAGTGTGTGTGTGTGTGTGTGTGTGTGTGTGTATGTGTGTGTGTGTGTGTGTGTGTGCGCGCGCATTACCTGTGCCGTCAGGAGTGCTTTGCACAAAGGTTGGCAGCATTTTGACTGTGGCAATGTCCTGTGTGCTTTTAGAAAGGCCATTTTGGATCTCTATCTTCATTCTCTGCTTCACCTAAAATTAATATTTTATTGTCAGAGTCTAAATATTGTGAAACGCAAATTGGCAGAACAAACACTGCAGCATCTTTTCTCACCTCCAGCAGCTGTTCAGTCGTCAGGGAAAACTCGGACAGTATTTGGGCGATTTGTCGCGATTGTTCAGCGAGTCTGTAGGCCACAGCGGTCACCATGGCAGCACCCTTTCCACTGCCGCTCTCCGAGAGGAGGAATCGAACATCGCAGTCCGGGACCAAACGTCTGACTGTCTTGTGAAGACGACGGGCATATCTGAAACGCATATGAGATTCTGCTTAACTATGCACATTTTACTTAAGATCAAAGTAAGACGATAGGTACACATTTAACTCCCAAATGCCGGACGGCAATTCTAGTACAAAACTAAAGAGCGAGAGAGCATTTAAGTAAACACTAATCTAAACGGTTCGTCTTTAAACTTATCACTTACTGTGGGTGCATCTTGTAGAGAGACCCATCGATGCCTACAGTGGTTCGGAGACGTGACGCTCCTTTGTTCTCCTTCAGCCTCATCAGGATGCCGGCCAGAGTAGCAGCTACAAGGCTGGCGGAGCGGAAAGACACAATGGCACAAACCTGAGGGAAGACAAGCAAAAATGCATCAAGACCATCCAAATTATTAAGAAACGTCTTAAATATTTGATTTCATTTGTTCCATGGATCTTAATATTTTAAACAGACTAAAAGTTACAAATTAACTACTTAACTATACAATTTCATCTTATATGATTTTCCTGATTTAAGTTCCCTCTCTGAAACCAAAAAGAAATAAATAAATAACTGAAGTGTTTTCTCGGTAACAATACACACATGCTGCACAGCAATGCAGTCGTCCGCTGATGGCTCCAAACCCAGTTTGTTCAAAATCTCTCTCGCCTTGATCAACCCTTCCTTGCTCCTAAACAAAAGAGATAAAAAAAAAAAAAGTTTACAATTTCATTTAAAAATCATTCAATTTTTTTGTCTACTCGGTTTAAGACTGTGGTGTGACTCACTTCTCTATGGCTGAGACGTGCTTGGTCTCGATCTTTCCTTTAGTGAGCAGCTCGGGGGTGATCCTTCCCTCAAACAGCAAGCCTTCTCTGGCCATCTTCACCAGGATGAGGCGAACCAGCTCCCCCATGTACATCCCACTGACCATCTTCTCAAATCTAATGCACAGAAAAGACATTTCAGCTTGAGGTTCAGAAATGCATCACTACTCACTATAGCTGCTCTTTCACAGCTGCCGGTAGCTGTGTTTGTAGCAGCTGAAAGGATGTTTACAGGTTTCTCATGGTTTTCTGGTAAATTAACTGGGAGCAGTTTAAGTATTAATTTTATGATGTGAGGAAAGGTGTGATACTTTTGGTTTGACTTACAGCTGGCTGCCCGGGTTGAGAGAGCCTCTGTCTATCTCCCTGTCAAACTCAGTCCTGATGTCTTCCAGCCTGCCGTCGTCCCCGAAGGCTCCCCACTCAGTGTTCACGCACATCCTGCCCTCGTCTCCCTCCACCAGGTCAATGTGACGCAGCTCCTCCATGTAGCATGCATTAGTACCTGTACCTAAAGCACAAATATGCCCACAGTTACATCGATTTTACACAGACTGGCTACAATTATCCATTTGTCTTCAATTTTTCAAATATAAGCATCTAATTTTTATTTTGCTTCTTTATTTTTATGGACAGTAAATCTGCAATACCGATAATAATGCCGACTTCACAGCGCTGGTCATCAAAGCCGCAGGTCATCATTGTTCCCACAGTGTCATTTACAACTGCCATAATGTCAGCCTCATAGTCCTGAAATATTTAAAAGCCAAAATACATAAGAGAGCCTTTTAGCACCATTTTTGTTCAACTATATCCCAGTTTAATGACATTAACTAAAGTGTGGCACCAAGGGAGATGACAGCAGACACTCACCCCTCGTTTCTTGATGGCTTTGTTAAGCAGCTGGACAACATCCATCCCCTCCACTCCACTGGCCTTGAAACGCTTAGTCCATGTTATCAGAAAGCCCTGGAGACAACCAAAGAAAGCCAGAGGAAAAAGTAAGAGATTCAAGTCTCTGTTGAGTGTTTATTTTCTTGGCTGAGTCTGCAAACTGTGACGACTTGTTACGGGAAAAGGGTGGAGGGAAGTTTGTTGACTGCTTAGTTTACCTCATCCAGTTTGGTTTGCTGGCAGGGGAAGGAGAAGGTGAAACCAACTGGAAGTTTCTTGTCTTTGATGTTGTGTTTTTCCATGAAGTTACCAAGACACTCTGCCACATGGTCAAACAGCTGGAATGGAGGTGGAAAGAGGGGGAAGTTATCTCATGTGGAGCTCAGAATAAGCTGTTTACATGTGTATATTTCTCTGTAAACCTACTCTCGCTCCAGTGCCGTGAATAATATCCTCGGGCGTGTCGTAGATTTCACTCTCCATCTGCACAGTCTGTTTCTTCTCATGGCTCACTTTGACGCGGAGGATTCTGAAGTTGCTGCCTCCCAAATCGAGTGCAATGAAGTCTCCTTTCTCTGTTGCGATGGAAAGAGTTGGAATACAGGGAGAGACCAAAAGTGGGAGAGGGGAAGAGCGAAGAAAACGTCAGTACAGTTCAGGTTCATTTACAGAACACCAATTCACAACAACAGTCTGTGAGGTAAAGATCCAGCAGTACTGTAGAAAACAACAATCGAGTGACCTCCTAGAGCGAACACTTTGCCATGTGGGAAAGGAAAAACTCACTTGTAACACTAAAAAGCGAGTCAGAGCATTTCAGGAATATTTTATTCACTGAAAGGGGCAACACATGAGCATTAGTGTTTGAGACTTCTACCTACAGAAAGCATTGAATGTGTCCAATGTCACTGCCTCATCTGCATGTCTAATATCTGTAAGCTTAAACAAATACAGTGAGAGTGGCCTATAAGGAAGATGAGGTAAAGAATCAGATTATAAGATTAATGTTTGCTTAAAAGCTCCCATCTATAAACTCCTACTGTTTCTTGTGAGCCTATGTTTGTTCATGTGTATGAATAGCTCAGGTTTACTTTGCTCTGTCTGTCCTGCTGTGGCTTCCTGTATATTCATTGGTTAATGATTACCACCACCAGGGGCATTATGATCAAGGACATATATTCACAAGGTCAACAGCTTATCAGACATGGTGCTTCATAGGTAAATGAAACAATTATACGGCTGGTGAAATCCTAACTCCTGACAATACCCTGCATAATAAAAGCTTGTGAGAGGTCAATAGGCTGTTGATGGGCTGTGAAAAAGTACTACTTAATCTCACCACCGATATCCCTTTAAGTCCTATGTGTATATTTAGCTGAATAATGGTACAGTAGTTTATTTAGCGTATCTCAACGAGGAACTTAATTTCTTTATAGCTTTCTGACTAGATAAACAGTAGAGTTAGATAAACCGGGCTGCGTCATCATGGCTCATTTGAATTTAAAGCATACTGACCTTTGATAAAACTGGCAGTAATCTCAGATTCATCACATAAGGTCTGTTCACTTCCTAGCGCTTACTGAGCAGCAAGTCAGTCCAAACAAATCAAGCTGTAACTCTAGAAAGTACAAACTAGGGACAATGTTGCGATGGGGTCACTCCTGCAGTGAAGCCATTGAGTTCTCGGCCGACATCCTTCTTGGAAAATAATTTTTTGTTTTTACAGTACATATAGAGAGATCATGTGGAGCGTTAAAAGTACATGAAGCTTGCAAAAACTGGCTGCATTTTTTTTACTTGGCTTTTATTTTGAGCTCAACTACACAGCTACAATTTTTTTTAATTCTTTATCTTACATGACTGAGACACTGTTGATAATAACAGACCCATTTGGCGTACCCTTTAATTAACACAACTGGGGCAATCTGATTTTGTTGGACCTGATTTTAAAAAAAACAACAAAAACAACAAACATCTAATATCTTCCACTACATGTACCTATTTTTCCCCACAGCTGTTCAGTGATATCTGCGCACATTTTTAAAAAAGCAGGTGATGAAACAGCCCCCAAACAGACTGGTGACCTAGGGAGTACCTGCACTTTCACCCTGTGACACCTGGGATAGGCTTCAAACCCCCCACAACCCTGAATAGACAAGTGCTGTAAAAATCTGTTCACTTTAAATCACCACACATCAAGCTGTCTCTCTTTAAAAATCAGGGAGTAAAATTCCTGTTCACAAATTATTTATTTGTGAATTAAAATAAGTAAAAAACTGTGCTACAAAGCAACACTGGCTGAGCTATTACACCTCGTCTGCAACTGCAACAGTAACTAATTTCCTTGAATTTGTTATATAACTCTAATTGACTCCATGTGCATTTCTGTAAGTTTAGGACCATCTTTCACAGTGATGTCTTCTCCAACAATGGCAGCAGGATTAGTGCTAATCTCTGATTTGTGTGTGTAATGTGTGTCAGGGCTCACAGCTCTAACACTGTAAACTAAAGTAGACTTGTTGCAAGGCAGAAATGTTGTGTTCATTCAAAGAGCTTTGCTGTTAATGATGATGACTGTGCATAAGTAACAAAAGTCAGTCTTCGTTGGACCGATGCTCCCAGAAGTACAGCAAGTAAAAGATAAGGGACCGTCTGTCACCTTGCTCCTGCATAACACACTCTCTACAAAACACTGTCCCATTAAGGTTTTCTCTGAATTTTACTGACCTGCATAATAAAAAGATATTCCTGGATCTGCAACTCTAAGGTCAGTGTTCCTGTTTCTGAGCTGTAAAGCTTTTCTACACTTTCACACACCAAACATGAAGAAATATGATCTAAATATAAATGACCTCATGGACTTTACCAAGCCTTTAGTGCCTGTGGAGACTGGCTTCTGTTCCCTGATACAGTGATATAAAAGCAGGTTTAGATGGACTAACCTGATCCATCGGGGATTGAGCGTACAAATGTTGGCAGCATCTTCAGTGTAGCAGTGGCATTAGTATCCCGACCCAGTCCTGTGACCAGCTCCTTGCGAAATCGCTGCGTGATGTCCAGTAACGTCTCATCAGAGAAACGCATGGAGTACAGGTACTTATCGATCTAAGAGTAAAAATAACGACAAACAAAAAATAGAAATTATTTCCATCTAAACTATTAAGCATCTGTCTGCAATAAATACACTTCTAACTGACACACACACACACACACACACACACACACACACACACACACACACACACACACACACACACACACTGACCAAGCATGAGGATATCGTAAATATGACTCCCTATCTCATAATGATTGGACTCATGCATAAAGATAACCTGCTTCGATATCATAAAATGTTAGATAACCTGTAGCTGGATAATATACCAGTAATGAAGATTTCTTATTTAGCTTTATTCCAAAATAATCAGATCAATTTCTCAGATCAGAGTCATCGCAATGTGTGCACAGGGTCACCTTGGTGACACAGTGAAACAAGGAAGTCCACTGTGTGTCACTCAGTCCTAGCAAAAGGCAACACTGCACAGCAGGGTAGGGTTGTGGTTTTATTGCTCGAATGACAGTGATAAGGCAAAGTAGGAGGTATGCCGAGAATTCAGTCAGACATTATTCTTACCAGGAAAAAGAGCCAGTTGTCTTAAATTGCCTTAAAACATCAAGTCTTGAAATTCTAAAGTCTCCCTATTGAAACTTCCCACTTTAGCAACTGTGCAAAGGCTGAACTGTCTGACCCTTCAGGAACAGCACGTTAAACAATCTGCTGAAATCCAGTGTTACATCACACACTGTGATGAAGCAAAGAGATGCTTTTGTGGTTTCAGAAACCAAAAACAGAATATATTCTCAATTGTGGGTAAAAGTCCCAATCATTTGACCTCAGTCGACAGTAGGCTGGATGTTATGCCTAATGGTCACACAGACATGGCACATAATGAACAACATGTTGCCCCATGGGTATTATATAAAGATGTGGTTAAAGACTTGGTTTGACGACCATCAGAATAGGTTCTTCCTGGTTTTTCCTAATAAGCTGCATAGGCAGAGATCATCCTCACTAATTTCTGATACACACTCAGTCATTTTGTTGTGGAAGCAGGACTAAAATATGGCAAAACCACTCAGTCCAGAAAAAAAGGAAAAGGGTTAATTAACGCTAGTAGGCTTCAAAGGAGGAAAAACTAATTAAAGAATTGTAGATGGGGTCATAAAAGTTGGGGCCACGGCTGCTTTGACTGAGAGGTGTGCTGACAAAGGGAGCTAATCAGTCTGCTTGCCTGGCCTCATTGATCTGGACCTCTATTTGTGGTGTTGAAGGAATCCGGAGCATTTTAATTTGTTTTAATTGAGTTAATTACCTGCCAGAGAAGAGACATGGACATATGGAGACCACCCAAGAAGTAAAATTTTATTCATCTGTTACTTACCCCTGAATAGCAGGTATCTATGGTATGAATGTGCATTACTTCAATTGTGATTATAGATTATACAGCCTGCTGTCCGAGCTTTCCAATGTTAACTTAATCACGGCAGCCGATAAAGTGTGGAGTTCGGGAACCAATGGGTGGCTTTTATGCACAGTCTGTGATTACTACTCAAAAATACTGCAGGCATGGACAAAACTCGCATCTTTCAGTTTGTTCTTGTATCGTCACTAGTGTCACATCTTGCAATGATCTCTCTCAACAATGTTGGCTAAGCTTCTGTAGCTGGTAATTATTCAAAGTCACAGTGTAATGTGAAGCCAGGGAAATGCGACAGCTTACAGGCATCAGAAATTGTCAAATCTGTCACATAGGAATGTCGCAACATCCTCTTTTAGGGGTGTTAACTGTACTTCCTTTATAAATCTGGCCCTTGTGACATGACAATGGCAGTCTGCTGTGAAACAGGAAAAACTGTTGGCCACTGACATGGATTTTATATCACAGAAAACATGTGTGGTGAAACTAAGGCACAAATCCAGTGCAACCAGCAGAGACTTATCTTTCTCACCTGCTTAAATGGTCAGTCAACTGTTATGTAGATGCGACCAACAGCTAGTTTCACCTTGCAGCCATGCATGAATAATATATAAAAGCTTATCTCCAACCCATAGTACTATTCTCATGTATGTGACCATCCTATCTGCAGTAACTGTTAAGTAGTCTAACTGATTCATCGTATGGGGCCTAATGTGGAGTGTGTGGAATAAAGGCTCATTATGTGCACAAGCTCTTGTCAGACAGGAGGGCACAGCTGAGTAAATGTAACCTCTAACCCGAATATACTGCATACTCGGGTTAGAGTATGCAGGCACAGGAAACTTGTTGGATAACGCCAAAAACAAGTCCACACCTGTGCTGGGTTGTATTTTACACCCAAATGTAGTCCTTAGTTAGAAGGGATGGTTTAACAGCAGTGACATGTTGTTGCTTGCAAACGTCCTCCCTTTGTAACTCTACATCTGTTATTTCATTTACAGTGTGCACACACACACACATTTACACGTGCATGCAAACATGTCTTCCATTCTGCTTTTCATACTCATAAGACAGTGATTAGAGATTTTAAATTAAACTAAATGGAACTGATACAGTTTACATGCATTACACAAATATTGATATTATTTAAATGTCTTTGTTCTTCATGGCTGATCTCCATAAGGCTTGAAGTTAAATATCTTGAATTCTTTTCGACCTCTTTTCAGCTTCACGCTTGTCATCTAGCTTGTTGGGGTTATGTCTTGTTTACAGTCATCTTTAGGAAAGGACAGGAGGATCATATTTCAGAGCCTTGTAAATAGTCTGACTCTGCAGCCCTGGCCTCCCCTGAGCCAGCAAAATTTAAATAATTGCAGGTTACAAATGAAACGCAATTCTTTGTTAAGCAAGGAGTAGAGGAGTAACAAAAAATGTTATTCCAACAAATGGAATAATGAATTTTATTACATATTTCTGGAGTTACATATTACAGATCTATTAATTAAAAAGACAAATATAAGCTAAAGTTAAAAAGCTTATGGCTTCTGTACCTCAAATTTCACAACAGGCTCACTCTAAAGGAACAACCTAAAGGTTTGTGGGGCTCGAACAGTCCTCCAAGCTATAACAAGACAGGCCCAAAATCTTACAGAACGAGAAGCCTTTATCAGGAAGCACGGGAAAATCTCCCAAACAAGAGATGAAAGACTTTAGCTGCAACAAAAGGCCTTAAGAAAGTCCATGCAGTGGGGGTCAAACGTTTGGTTAAGGACATTTTTGTTATTGTGATGGAAATCGGTTCCTAATTTCGCCAACAGTGTTTTGAAAAAGTGTAATCTTTAACTTTTCACCCAATTTTGGAAGTCAGCTCATCTTTTATCCATTTCGCTATGCATGTGTGTATACTGCACATGTCCTAGACTCTACTGATCAGTACTGATTCAGGTGGCCTGCGCAGTCTGTTTCAGTTTATTTAGTATCTAACCCAATATTTTCGCTTGAGTATCATATTCAGAACGTGAATAACTGCTGAAAGGCTAAGTGGCACTTTTTAATAATGAAAACTGCACAGGCCAAAAGAGTGCAGGCTCGCCAATAGAGGGAGTCTTCTTAAAGTTATCTTTCACCCATTAGAAAGCTTGCAGTAAGCTGATATTTAGAGTCTACTTTTTGTGAATGGAGAAATGAAAGCATTTCTTTATTTAGTGCAGCTCTTGTGCACTGCACTGACTGTCAGCTGATGTAAATAGATCCATTCAGGTTTGCAGCTCTGAGCTATTTAATCTTCCAACTGCTGGCAGCCCAGCCAGTTAGCCCGCAGTGCTGCTTCAACATCTCCTATCATCAGAGGATCTCCTCATGTTCTGATTTCTAGATTTTGTTTTTAACTGCTGCTGGCAGGAACTTTGTAACGGTAAAAGCAACAGTTGCATAAGCATTCATACAACATATGAATGCTTATAGGTGGCAGAGGTTTCAAACTCTCTGCCACCTACCCTTGCTGTATGTTTGCTGTTGGCTAACATACTTGCATGAGACTGCTTTTTATTCTGTTGCCTTGTTTAAAACAATGTGCCCAATTAGCTAAGTGAATAGGGGGGCATTCTCTCCTCTACTTAAATAACAATGTGTTCTCAGCTGTCCTGCCTGATGCTCAGCTACAAAGGAGGAGGATTAAAAAGTTGCTTCACACTAACCTAAATGAAATCCCCTCCAAAATCTGACTAACTATTACTTGTACAGTTCCTTTCAAAGAAAAGAAAAAACATCTCTGACTCAGCAAAAATTCATGTCTAAGCATTTCATCGTATCAGGACACTATCTGATACGATATTGCTCATAAATAAAAAATATCTCCGCTGCCGTTTGTAGAGAAAATAGGTGTGTGTGATGACTAAGACTGTTTAGATTTCACGACCAACTTCATTTTCTTATTTGTACAGTTTCCCTTTTTGAGGAGACAGGAGGCAAGAGTTTGTAAAGGCCCTTCAACACACCTCTAAAACAGCTTTCTGTGCCTCCGCCCAGAGCTCGGTGCAAGTTTCAGGAAGAGGTCACACTCTCTGCCACTGCTTCCCTCCCTCCTTCTCATTCTCCCTTTTGTTTGCATTCCTTCTCTCAACAATGCCTTGCTCTCCTCCTCACCACGAGGTGGCTCAGGGAAGCATTGAAACATGACTCCACTGTGTGTACGTGTGCGCACACAAGAAATTGTGCGCACGCATCCTCACCATGTGGAAAAATACCATCCTCTACAATGCCCCCTGCTGCAGCTTCCCTTTTTCAACTCCGTGTACATAGACGTACTCGCACGATGTACTCTGGATGACCTACCAGCTGCAGCGGGAACGTACGGTCAAGGACACGGCGGTGAATTGGGTTGACCGGAGAGACAATCAGCTGATCGAGTCTCTTTGGCAACCACAGGTCATCTAGAAACTCATTATTGATCAGATTGTGTGTACACGTTTAATTATAGCTGCTCAAATATTGAACTGCATGTTTGACAATTTCACAACTAGAGAAAGTGGTACACAAACCCTGCTCTTATAAAAGCTACAAAATAGCTGGCGTTGTGTGCCTGTCTGTGTATGCGTGTGTGGGTGTAAGCCTCCTCCTGCTGTCCACCTGTGGTCACATGGTTCAAAGCTGGCCTATTTTAGGGAAGCAGGGAGAGGAAGAGAGCAGGAGTAAAAAGGGAGGGAGATGTGTTGTATTACATCAGATCCTGGCTGCTGATTCATGTCTTTTACCTTTACAGACTGCACTCTGACTTTAGTGCAGCACAGCAGGCACAGCTGGAGACAACAGGGCCCCGTGTGAACAGACCACACAGATTAGCTCGAATAAGAATAGGAAAGTGTGAATGGAAGAAGGAAGTGTGATAACAGACTTGTTGCTGAATCTGCAGCTTGTGTGTGACACGACAAGCGACCTTAAATGGACACCGTGCCGTGTGAAATTTAAGCACACGATGAGAAACGGCAATTTTAAATTTAGACACGAAGACTAAAAACTGTGACACCAGTGGGCCTGGTAGTAATTTAACCTCCTCTGACTAAGTTTTACTGTTTCGTAACTATGGCGACCAGATTTTATGGTGCATTCAATGAAGAGGTGCTGGAAACTGATTGGAAAAGATCAACTTTTTGATCTCACTCTCTCACACACACCTCTCTGAGGACAACTAAATCTGGTCCTAATGATCAGACAGACTTCTTTAAGTTTCCTGAAGTGTACATCACATCACTTTTAAATAGGGACACATGAACACACCATGAATAATTCAACCTATTCAAGGCCTCCTCGGCCGGGCCGTACCGAACCCCTTCGGGCTCCACTGAAGGTAAATTAAAGTGTGGGTATTTTTTTAACAAGAATATAATAGAAACTCTGTGACCCCTGAAGTAACTTCTACCCATTCATCCTGTGCTCATGCGTCCTTTCATCCTTGCAGCTCACTTCCTCTCTTGCTCTTTGCCACGCCCCCTCACATCTTCTATCACGGCAAAAACGTTACTCATGTTGTGACTACATTTTACTACGCACACACACCTCCCTGTGCAGTTTGTCACGTCTCACTAGGCCGGGGTCATTCCCTTTAAAACGCGTGTCTGTGAAAATGACACGGGTCCGAGAAATCGGTCTGTTCTCGCGACAGGATGAAGCTTTCTTTCACTTCCTCGAAGAAATGTACCCGTGTGGTGGAAAAACTTATGATGGAGATACCTAGTAAACCCAGTGACCTCTACAACACATGTGCTTCTCTCATCTTTTATAAGCTCGTCTTCTTCGTGTATCTAAGACAAACAAACAGAATCAAAAAGGGAGGAAAGAGGTAAACACTCACCTTTTTAACCTGGTCATCCTTGAGCTCAGTGAAGTAATAGGCTAGTAGCTGAGCCGCAATCATTCTGCTGCTTGTTCTCGCTCTGTCTCTCTCACACACTCATACAGACTCACTCAAACGCTTCCTCAGTCTCTCACACGCCTTAACCTGCAGATGGATTTAAAAAACTCCAAAGATAAGAAAGTTAACTCAGACTTTTCTCTGCCCCTGTTTCGTAAATATAATCTGCAAGAGGTATAAAGATATCCCGAGTCTAGTCTAGTGTGGTTTAAAATAGCCGGAGCTCCTTCATGTGTGGCTAAGACTCTAACTCTTCCTTCTCTGTGCATGTGAGTCAAGCCAGGAAGCATGAATGATACAGCAAGTTTGGCTGTGGGAGGCAGAGAGAGAGAGACACTCAGGGGGGGAGAGGGAGGCAGGAGTGCCGCAGAAAAGGACACGCCCACTGCCTGCAAGCTCATTGGCTAGACAGAACTATTGCTACATCCTCTGGCCTGCTATTGGTCGGGCCTGCTGATGCCTTGGAGGCAAACCCAGTGATGGAGGAAGAAGAGGGAGGGGGTAATTAAGAGGAGAGACGTGAGGATTTGAGCTTTACTGTCAAAAGGAAGTTGTAAAGTTTCATTCTGTTTAGCCTGTGCCAGGAAGACAATGAGCCACACAGTTATGGTATTACTCAGACTGCTGTAAAGTGCCACTTTAGTTACTGCTGCCGGCTAGCTGTGAGGAAATTCAAGGGAAACTTATTGCTCTTTGCTTCTCTAAACTCAGGGACATACCAGGAAGTTAAGGACATTACGAAGTGTTTCCTGTGGGCACGGGATACTGCTCAGCAGGAATGGGTAATATTTTTTCCCCTCAGGGTCATACTGACTAAGTTAAGGGACACACATTAGATAACTGAATCAAAAATGGCTAAAGGCTGAAATTATTAACAACAACAAAAAACAAACAAACCCCAACCTGAAATCTACATCAACTTGAAATATAGTGAAGTATAGCAGCACAGGCTCATCATCTGAATCAGATTTTGAGGAGTGGGGGTTATTACACTGCTACCCCTCAGGCCATATTTCACACATTTACTGCAATGTGACTGCACTTTCCCCACATTAATCTTTGGGATAGACATTTATTTATTATTCGTACCATTTCATCGTACCAGTTACATGGTCTTTTTGCCTTTTCCACGCTATCTTCCTTCCAGTTAAGACATGTCTATTGTCCCACAGTGTCTTTGTCTTCTGGTTTCTGACCCACCTCCCCCACGGGTGAAGGTATTTGTTCTGCGTGACCGAGCATTTAGACAATAAACTGAATGTTTGTGATGCAGATAAGTGTGATGTACTGCTTCAGCTTGTTTTTGTTTAACAGGAGGACACACACCTGCCGCTCCTTTTGTGCACTACACCTGCTTGACCATAATTTAAGTAGAATGAAGGCCATTCATTCACTCGGCCTTCTTTCTCAAGATTCAGTCCATCAGCCTGCTACTTTCATAAACTGTCTTTTCAAACAGATGTGACATTGCCACTGCAGCAACAACAGCTGCCTCTAGACACTTTTTAGGACATTGATAGACTAGGGTTAGAACTACGGGAACTGTTATATTTTGTATATCTAATAAGTTGGCTCTAAATTCATTCTACCTTCTTTTAATTATTTTTCATGCGTTCAACTTCATGAAAAACAAAATAAAAATCTTTTTTTGTATTTTTACTTTTTAAAGGCTGAAGACAACAGAGATGTGTATCAGTACTGTTAATGGAAAACTTTTCTGAGCCTTTTACAGCACATGACACCTGTAAAAGTTTATTAATTCATTCCAGACTCCAGTTGTGGTCTTTTTTAAATTTTTGCATCAATCTGTCTCTATTGCTTTTGAATTCCTCATTCTCTGGGGTACTATATATTTGACACACTGCCTGCAAGCCTGCCTTTACTTGTTATGCTCATGAGAGGCACGCTGCTTAAACAAAAAATAAACCGCTTTATTTGCATTGGATGCATGACTCACGAATACAATGGATTTTTCTGTGTGAGACTGACGAACACTGGAGCACGATAGTGTCTGGTTAACTTTACTGTTGATATTTTAGACAATGATATGGTTTCCTTGAAGAAACCTGAGCTGGAGATCATTTCTCCAACTATATGAAACCTAAAATATAGCTTTCATAAAGCACTTCACTCAAATATGAAATATAGTAAAATACCACCAAGGTCAGTGCGTTATCCAGTAACTTGCCAGGTCAAACATCAAATTTTCCTCTGACTAACACAAAGAACAAAAAGTTTAACTGCAGTTATTTAAGTCTTTAGACTGTAAATCACAACACTGTAACAATCCGCCTGTTATAAGGTCTGGCATTGTAAACATTATAGAAAATGGTCACATCAAGGCACCACAAATTATACCAGATAATGAATGCATACCAAACAAGGAAGGTTTAGAGAAACCAGTGTGCAATTATGAAACTGTGATTTGTGATTTGTAAATATAAATGTACTTCTAATGATCAGTGTACAGTATTATAACATTTTTATGCACTAAAATAAAGGAGTCCTTTCAGATACAGTCATAATACAGATAATTATAAGTTAAAGTCATATACAGAAAATTTTGATTCCAACGTACTTCACATGGAAAAAATGGATACAGATTTTCAGAAGCTTAAATAACAAATTCTTTTTCTTCTTCTTAATAATATTATTGATTGATCGCCTTGAGGCGACTGTTGTTGTGATTTGGCGCTATATAAATAAAATTGAATTGAATTGAATAATAATAATAATATTCATTGTCACCTCTTTATTCAGTCTCAGAGGTCTTTCAGTTTACCATAAATAAGTTAGTTACCTTAAGCAACAAAGGCTCCCCATGATGCAGCAGAGCTGGTGTCCAGCAGCTCTCATCATACTGATGTTTTGATGCATTGTGGCGTCTAATTCTTCCACTGTCCACTCCACTCAGAGGTTTAAGCCTGGGATTCAAACGTTGATTCATTGTATCTTTGAAGAGAATTAGTCGGGCTGTGAAACTAAACTGAAGGTCTATTTTCTCACAAAACTAATGACCGCAACACAATATCCAGAATAAGACCAGTGCTCTCTCCACTGTAGGCTGCAATAGCTCAGTTCTGCCCATCTACTGGAGAAAATTTCTGAGTGTGTGTGAAAGCTTGTATTGTTTGTTTGTAGGGCAGACAAAGACACACACATTCACAGAGCCCTCAATCAAAAGATAAAATAAAAAATACACAGCAAAGACGCCTTGCTCCCTAAGACAGGCCCCTTTAGGAAAAACATCAGAGAAATGATGGATGGAGTGTTTTTAAATGAAAGATAGAGACAGAACGAGCCAAACAATGAAGGAAGGTAGAAAGGACAAGAATGTTAGTAGGCCTAATGTTAGAGGAAAAGAAAGGATGCAGTCTTTTTTATCAGTCTCTGCTCTGTTGTAGGATGCAGGAGCTATATTTTGAGGAGCCTAGCTGCGCTTGCATTCAGTGCCACATAAAGCTGCCGTGTCGCAGCCTGTGAAATTGTACTGTGAAGACAGTAGCTTGATACAAGGACAGCGTGGGATTATTGTGTGTATGTGTGAGGATGACGTAGCCCTCAGCTGGTAGCATTCTCACATGTTAATCCCTGAGAGATTAGCTAGTATTTCACTCCCGTTAGCACACTATTTTTCCTCCCTTACTTTAATCCCTCATCATTCATCAGTCATGCAGTGGTTATCGCACTCTGTCTTTATTTACTGTTCCTGTGCATTATTCTCTTCACTTATTACACTCCGCTACTGTCTTCCTGCCTGTCTTCATCTTCAACGCATCATCTAATCTGTCATGAATGGATTAGCCTCACACTGATCACCGCACCGCTCATTAACCCAGTGCAGTATCATCAGATCAATAGCTTCAGATTAAATGTGTAAACAAACAACAACGCAAATTGTAAGTTTTGCCTAATGAAACTAATTTTAAAGTTGACCATAGACTGAAATTTCATCAAAAATGCCAAAACATACAATCGTTACTTCTTTTTTCTTTTAAATTAATTAATTAATAAACTTTCAACAGCAGTCTATCACTGGAGTTCTTCAGGTTACTGCTTGGACTGCTAATGCACCGAGCAGACATACAGATAAAGACACAGAAAGACTGGGCAAAGCTCCAGCCAGACAGATAAAAGGGACAAGGAGAATGACTAAAATGGCACAGATGGCCAGAGACAGTTAGAGAGAGAGAGAGAGCCGGGTGACCACAAGGACAGAGAATCAGTGTACAGTGACTGAACAGAGGATTGGTTGTTTTTATTGTCAGGAAATGTGGTCAGCAGCATTCCAGTCCTCCTCCTGCTCCCCATCAATAAACTAAGAAACTGCTGACTAACCCCCCCCCCCACACACACACACACAATTTTGTAACAGTTGGCTGCACAGGTGATTGCTTTTAGTTAGAATAAGACTGATGCCCATGATATCAGTGTGTAAAGAGATTTGTGTCTACACGATATGACCGTGTATATTTTCTCTTTTGCGGAATATTACATATTTTCTACACACACTTACATATAAATCATCAGGTTCACAACTGTTGCACAATATAAAGTCATTCTAAGGAGTGTCTATAAATCTTTAAGTAAAAGAGAGGAACAAAATGTATTTAACTACAACTTCTTATCAGTCATACACATGTTTATCTATGAAATCAGTTATTTAAATCCCAGACATGTCTTGGGGAAATAAAAGCTTGAATGATTTTCTACCTTTAAATTCAGACAAAAATGAAGTTATTTTTACTCAAACCTGATGAAATGATGAAAAACATCTCAATTTTATTCAATTCAATTTTATTTATATAGCACCAAATCACAACAAAAGTCGCCTCAAGGCGCTGAGAAAAACCCAACAATCATATGACCCCCTATGAGCAAGCATTTTGGCGACAGTGGGAAGGAAAAACTCCCTTTTAACAGGAAGAAACCTCCGGCAGAACCAGGCTCAGGGAGGGGCGGCCATCTGCTGCGACTGGTTGGGGTGAGAGAAGGAAGACACACAATTTAGTGTGGATTAAAATCCACACTCGATTGTTCAAAAATCTCTCTTAAAAGCCTCCAGTTAATCCAAAACACTGCAGAGAGACAGGGAGGAGAATAACAGAGTAAATTTCTCCCATATTTGCTTGATTGGCTTCCTCTAAAATCAACAACTGAAACTAAAATCCTTCTCCTTACATGCAAAGTCTTCAATAATTAGGCCCCATCACATCATTGAGACCTCATAGTATCATATTATCCATCAGAGCATTTAAGATCTTAGAGTTTCTAAAAGTAGAATAGGACGCTGAGCCTTTAGCTATCAGCTCCTTCTCCTTTAGAT